CAGGACTAGTGGTGTAGAATTATTGCCCAGGGTGGATTTTTCTCTCTGGTAGTCTGTTTGCACTCTAAGAACACACCAGCAAAGAACTTTCTTGGCCTGACAGAGCAAGTGAGTTCCCCACACTGACTGAAGGGTAAGTAAAAGCAGAAGGATCCAATCCTCATGGCATTAACTCTGCCTTCTGCCACCCTAAATGTCATAAATGTCATGAGTCAATAAGGGAACGTGCTTGGACTTTCCCTAGTCTAAAAAAATGAAGCTAAAGTTTGCTGGGGAGGGAAGGGGAGGAGACGAGAGGGAGGGGGAGAAACATGTCTCACACAACCTGCTTTTGAGTGCTGTTATTTCAGTTCCTAAAGTCACAGATTGCCTATAGATCAGATGGGCCTTAGTGGTGATGGAGCATGAAACCTCACTTAACTCCCACTTTACAGTTTCTTCTTTGCAGCTGAGATTCTTTGCAGCCGCATTCTTGCCCTTATGCCTGTGGCTTTTCCCATCTGATAGAAGCTAATCCTCACTGGTTGTATATTAGGGGGAAAAAACAACATTTTTTTTCTTTGTTCATGTTTAAGAATTGATGCAAAAGTCCACTGGTTGAATGGGAGGGAAATTTGATACGCAAGCAAGTCCTTCGAGTTCCACTTAAAAAAAAAAGTAGCAAATGTACCTGGATCCAAATGGGAATGGACGGGAGTCTTGATTTATGAGCAATATGCAGGGTTTAAATTGGATCTGCACTACCTCAGCAAAGGTATCTGCTTATTGGATGATTTGTTTTTTAATGACCCTTCGATGTTGCCTTTGCAGAATAACAGTTAAAATGCCATGTTGAATAAGGACAAGTCTGTGCTAAGCTATGCTTGCCCGGCAACAAGCTGGTCTTGTATCAGGTTCAAGAACATGGTGTATTTAAAAAAAAGTATTTAGATACTATAGGAAAACAAACACAACCCAGAAAAAGAAATGTAACAGTAAACCAGCAACTGTGTTATGGCATACTCTTACTTCTTTACTACTCAGCAGGGAGATGGCCAGATTTTAAATACTATTTGTTTGATCTTACAATGATCATGCAAAACCTAAATGGGAATTAAACAAAAGAAGTTTAACTGTGCTTAACGGTGTTACACACTGGCTTTTACAATAAGGAAACAATTGTGTGCTACTACAGTTGGTAGGAACTAATGGTTTTCTTTTATCTTAATTACTAAGTAAAAAATTACCAAACTAAGACATTTGCAAAGCAACACCTGGTCAATTTTATCAAATGTAATAAAAAGCCTTTCTTTCTGTACAAAAGTCACTTCTCTTTTTATTGCACACCCAAATCCTATTCATTCAAGTGGCTGTGCCAAGAGTGCACTGGATAGAAAAGGCAAAGTTGTTCTTGATTCCTTTCTGGAAGTGTGCAGAGTATTGCATGTTAAATGGAGAAAATACAGTACCATAGGGAAGCACAAACAGCACCTATCCCAGGCTGCACTGCCCCCAAATAAGCACACATTCGGCAATCTTCCATGTTCATGCAATAAATGGATTGAAGAGGGGTGCCTCCCTCAGCTTTCTGGGCTGCAAACCTTGTCTCCCTCAGGCCTATGTTCCTCTGCAAGGGATTCCACTAGCCACAGTAAACGCAACCCCCAAAAGTGCACACAGGGATTATCACAAGCAGCGCCACAGCCATCATGGTAGTAGAACATGGGAAGAGAAGTGTTCCTGAAAGCAGCCCCATCCCACAATATAGCAGGTTATACAGATTAGAATCAACACCTTGAATAGTGCCCCAAAACAGATGCAATTCACGGAGCACCGATGAAGTAGGCTCTCTCCCTGACGGCTCTAGTAAGCAGGTGGGCTACCATCATGCTAGCAAGTGGTCTTCAGTGGCTGAGTGCATTGCATTCATGCAACCAGGGGCAGGCAAAGCGTGGGGGGCCGTGGCGAGGTCTGAGTTAGGTGGTAGGAGTCATTGCTGCCACTTGTGGAAGTGACAGCCGTCAGGGATTCATCAGTACCCCACAAACATGAATCTCTTTGACAAGGAGTGGACGGACTTCACAGCTAGAAGTCGCCCCTTCCTGATCCAAGTCACTTTCCCTTCGGGGGGAGGGGAAAGGGGGGAGGAGAGCCAACAGGATTGCCAGGCCCCTGGGCAATGGGAAAAGGGGTGGCGGCTCTGTGCTCCGGGAAGGGGTGGAGCCTCTGGTGGAAGGGGCAGGACTGGGGCTCAGATGGCATTGTGTCCTCCCCGCTCCTGCCGGCCCTCAGAGGAGTATACCATGTGGAGCTCCGGAGCATGCGGCACAGCGCTCCTACGGCAATTCTAAAGGGCCCGGGCCTCTAGCCATTGCCATGACAACAGTAGCAGCAGTGGGAGCCCTGGGCCCTTTAGATTCGTTGGGCCCTGGGGCAATTTGTCAGCAGGCTTGCTTCTCTCTGCCCCAGCAGCCCCAGCCTGAATCTCAGGCTATGTCTAACGTAGCACTTCTGACAGTAACCCCTCTGTGGGTCGGGGAGTGTGTGTGGAAAACACACATCTGATACATGTTTTACCAACAAAAGCACCAGTGTGGACAGCACTATGCCAGCGGGAGACACAGTCCCAGCAATATAGCTACCGCTGCTCCTTGGGAATGGTTTAATTATGCCATTGGGAGAGCTCTCTCCCATCATCATAGAGTAGGGTGACCAGATAGGAAGTGTGAAAAACTGGGGCAGGAGGTGGGGTAATAGGCACCTATATAAGACAAAGCCCCAAATATTGAGGATATCCCTATAAAATCAGGCCATCTGGTCACCTTAGCATAGAGCAGCTGGTAGACCTTACAACAGTGCGGCTGCAGCTGGCCAACTGCGTGGCTGTAAGATCTGAAGTGCAGACATAGCCTCAGTCAGCACAGTCTTCATCACTTTTATCTGTTGACTCTAACCATGCCGTGAGTAGTAAAGACCAAGGCTTTGTCTGCGCTCAGACTTATTTGAACATCTGACGTTTTCACCTCCAGGATTTGTACGTGCTGCTGCTGATTCATAACGAGGCAAAGAAGTATATTATTAATCAAACCCAGAAGCACAATTTCTACAGGAGGCTTTTATGTGAATGAGAACAGCATATGAAGTTACGCTTAGCTAGGATTAAAGTTACAAGGGGCTCTCTCAGTCCTTCTCCTTCAGGCCATAAGCTGATCACCAGATGCGGGTCAAGAAGAATTATACACACACACACACATGCATCCCGGCCTTAACGGTGTTGCACAATAGGTAGACTCCAGAGAGGCAAAAAGAAGAGGATTATGGTTATGCCTTTAAGGGCCTTATCCAGATGTTCTGAAGTGGGAACTCTGTCCCAATTTTTCTGGAAGTTAAGGCGAAGCCTCATTTAGTGTCAGAAACAAGACACTAGACTAAAGAGATCACCGGTCTTTTGGTCTGGCACTTCTTAACTATAGCACTATATGTAGCAAAGCCCAGTTTTCAGATGCCTAACTAATGAAAGGGAAGCCTGGCAAATGAACCTGTTATGAGAAATCAGTGGATGGCCGGTCCCATGATATCTCTACATATTATATTCATATTTCACAAAAGTTAAAGCAAGAATTCTAGAGCTGTGAGAAACCTGGCAGTTTCCATTCACCAAGGTTCATGAGAACAATTATTTTTCAGTTTCAATTCTCATGAGGTTTCATGTTGAGTTTTGGGTTCAAACAAAAACCCACTTATTCTTTACTGCAAATTAATTTACCAGTTGAACTTTTAAAAAAAACCAACAACAACAAAGCCACAACATTTCATCTAAACCACTGAGTTTCAGCTGGTATCATGTCAAACCACTTGAAACATGAAACCATAAATCTTCCCAGGTTGACTCACAATCAGGCACAGGTTGTCTGGAAAAAGTTTGCAAAACTTACTAAAGTCTTCGTGTTTTTAACAAAATACTAATCTCTGTGAGTTTTGTATGCTTTAGGGTTTTGTTGCGTATCTCTGGCACAATTATAGTTAAAATCCCATTTCACTTTTGTAATTTGTTACACACAGTAATTTATTATTACTCTCAGCACAGTGAAATCCCATCCCTCAGCATGCACTCAGAACTGCTGCATACAATCCTCTTTAGCAACCTAGGGAGATTTTCATATGCTCCAGTTTGTGGATGGTGACAGAGATATAAATGGGCACTAGAGAGAAGCCACAAGGTTTGTCTAGACTGCATCCCTCTGTCGGCAGAGGGATGCAGATTAGGCAGGTCGACACTGCAAATGAAGTGGGGATTTAAATATCCCACGCTTAATTTGCATAAAAATGGCCGCTGTTTTTGCCAACTCAGCACTTTGTCGGCAAAAAGCGGCAGTCTAGAGGGGGATCTGTCGAGAAAGAAAGCCATCCCATATGCCTCCTGCTTTCTTTCTTGACAAATCCCCCTCTAGACTGCCGCTTTTTGCCGACAAAGTGCTGAGTTGGCAAAAACAGCGGCCATTTTTATGCAAATTAAGCGTGGGATATTTAAATCCCCACTTCATTTGCAATGTCGACCTGCCTAGTCTGCATCCCTCTGCCGACAGAGGGATGCAGTCTAGACATACCCACAGTGTGAGAAGGTTGCATTGGTATCATGATCTCGTCAGTACAATGTTGGCCACTCTTTTCCAGCAAAGTAAAGAGCACAGCTAAGTAAATATGTTCAGAGAGACTATCTCCACATATTGCACCACTGCACATGGGTGGGTTATTTCAGAGCATCATGGTGCTTGGATTTCATCAGATTTCTCCCCTATTTGCTGTATTTTGACACTTTGGTCTTTTAAAAATATTAATTGAAGAAGAGAAAGACATGTGCATCTTTAAATGCCCCAGAATAATCTGCTCCCCAGCTAGCTTTGATTGGTGCATATCTCTCACTCTGTAACAGCCTCGCTTCCCTATAGCCGACACAAAAATATCCACAACCAATTACTACCATTGCCTGTGCAAGTTAAACCTATGGTTCTGTCTCTTACCTGTAATCTGACTCTGTCCTTGTGGATTAAAAGGACTTGGTGCAGAGTTCAGAGAGGGCCGTGGGCTCTGAGTCGGGACCCCTACTCTCATACTGGGATGAGGAATGCGCCCTAAATCACTGAGGCGTTCAGAGAACAAACTAGGTTTAGAGTCATCAAGCTTCTGTCTGTGCCCTGGAAACAGCAAATCATAAAATAAAAGGGTTATTAACACGTCTAAACAATTTACCATACAAAAAAAAATCCCCAACTTATCTGTAAAGACCTATTTACTGTTTTGGGGTTCTCTAGGCATTTTGGCTAGAGACAGAAACCAGCACGGGTCAAAGCAAAAGTGGCAGAGTCTTCTGTACAGTGGTGCACCTAAGTATTAAAAACAGTGCCGCAGATCGTCAGCTGGTCTAAACTGTTACAGCTCCACTGTTTCAGCTACGACAATTCAGACTATCTGAAGATCTGCCCCACGGTGAATTCTGGAGACTGAAAGAGCAGTGTGTAGTCTACACTCAGACATTGTGCTGGTAAAGCCAAATTGATTAGAGGCGTCATTTTTTGGAGACAGCATTGCCAGTAAAAGTCCTAGTGTGGATGCAATAATCTTATCATATACTTTACAAATGTGTGTTTGTCTGTCCGTCCATCTGGGAGTACATTTTCCCAAGAGCTCCTCCTAAAGAGTAAGAGGTAGGACCACCAAATTTGGTATGCAGCTTCCTCTTATCATAACTTAAAGCAAGGTCAGGGTTTGGTTGTGCCAGGACAATGAGATATGCCTGGAATTCAATTGTTGCTCATAAAATGGAAAAGGAGGAGTCTGATGGGAGGGAATTATACGGTAAAATGACCACGGGGGGGGGGCAACAAGGAGCCACAGATGGGGATCAGGACAGCTATAACTCCATTGGGCCAGCAGGAAGCAGGGGTGGAGAAAGGGACAGCTACATTCTATACATTTCAGAGAATTTGTCTGTTTGTGTGTTTCTTTGTCTGTATGTCCGTCTGTCTCCCAGCTGAGGGACATTCGCCCCACCCCCAGCCACACCCGCTGCAGCGGTCATAGAAAGGCACTTGTCAGCTGCCTCCAAGCTGCTGCAGTGAGAAAAGGGGCTGTCCTCTCTCCCCGGGGCAGCCTGCATACTGAACCCCTCATCCTCAGCCCAAACCCAGAACAATGATTTAAATGAAGAAAAAAACCACTGAGTTGAATTAAGGACCCAAGCAATGCTGAGTAAATCTTCTAGTGCCATTGTAAGTATATACCTATGGCGTCTGGTTTTTCTAGGTTTATTTATTTCATTTTCTGGTGTTCATATTTTGCACTTTTTCATTTGTATGAGGATGTCCAAAACCAGTATTTTATGGGGTCTTCTCTTTGCATACACACACAGTGTTGTTTCAAACAGCACTATGGTAAAGAGCACTAGGGACCTCTTAGTGTGCACTAGCAATAGTCTACACAGACCAACTAATGCACGATTCATTGGTGCACTTCAAAAAATCACACCCTTGTAGTCCACATTACTGCTCCAACTAGACAAGCCCTGAGATACAATCCAGGGAGCAGGGATATCACCTATATACAGTTCTGCAATGGGAAAAGGGGGAAGTCAATATGAATTGAGTAACCATTTTTGGTATTTTTCCAGTGTTCACTGGATAAACACTGATTTCATTTTTGTCTCTGTGAGTGTTGTTACTAGCGTTTCTTAGTTGAAAACCTAAAATCAGAAGTCCTATGTCTACCACATCCACTTCCCAAATCAAACTGAACTATATTAGTATAAGCACTTTTATACTGGTAAACCGTGTACATACTGGGGATTTTTTACTGCTTTAATTATACTGGGATAGTTAAACCGGCAAAAGTTTCTTACCTAGGTAAACCTCCTATCCATATATGTGTGCGAGTGAGAAATTGTTCGAAGGACTGGTTCTATTTATTACAGAGATTTTCACTCAGCTAAGAAAATCTGACTTTTTTTTAATTACTCTGTTATAATTATTCTTCATGGCTCATTTATTATTCTGTAACTTTGGAGTTTATTAAAAAATCAGAACTAAAGAGCCCGTCTCCTTTAAGAAGCCAAAAGAGTGGTGTAATAAGGGGAAAACGGTAAAGAGACATCTGGTGAAACCAATCCAGCTGGGTTCCATACCTCCCTTCACTTAATGGACTACCCCTCATCATATCTCCCTCTCCAGCTTTTGCTAGCAGCTCAGCTGCACAAATGCTGCCTGGATTAACCAGGAATGCTCTTTAATGTTGTGCAGTTGTTAGAAGTTAAAGGGGAAAATGACATTAATCAAAAATAAGAATGCCCACTCCAATGTGCTGATACTAGAAGTACTTTTACTTAAGATCTGCCAGATCTGTCTCAGAAATTATGCATCATCCATCATCCTATTTGTATTCAAAGACTTGATTCATTTTAAGGCATTTCCATCATGCTCATCACCAGAGTATGAGAGCACTTCACCACGTTTAATGAGTAGACCCATAAGTAGGGAACAGATAGGGTTTGTTTCCCCTATTTTACAGAGGGGGAAGCTGAATCACTGAGAGGTGAAAAGGGCTAAGTCACAGTGAACTCAGAAGATAGAATCCAGGTCCTATGGCTTGTGCTATAACTCTAGAATCACACGTTTTTATAGCATGCATCATCTGAGTACCCGAGTACCAGGGCATCCAACTGGAACCCTGACAACAGGCAAGCAATTCTGGTATGAGTACTACAGGTTGGATCTCACTGGTCCAGCACCCTCAGGACCTGAGGGGTACCTGATGAGGAAATTTTCCGGACCAAGGAAGGTCCCCTGTCACCAGCCCCCTCAGCTTGATGGCTCTCCCTGCCACCTGCTCATTCAGCACTGCTGCTGACCAGGCAACACAGCTACACCAGCTCCATTGCTGGCATGGCAGCATGCAGACCTGGCCCGGCTGCCGTGGCACCAACCCTAGTGGTGGCACGTAGCCCCGATCAGGCTGCTGACCCCAGCTGGATTGCTGCAGCCCTGGTTCCATTGCCACGGTCAGAATGCCGCGGCACAACCCTGCTGCTGTGCCGGCACACACGAGCTGCCCCGGCCCCAGCGGGATGGATGAGCTGCTCCTGCCCCACTACCACAGCCCTGCTACCACCACCGGGTTGCTGAGACCCTGGCTGTGCTACTACCAGCCTTGCTTTTCACGGGGCTCTCAGATACTGGCCCTCCTGCCCCAGGGCTCTCTCGTTCAGCAACCCACGGATGTTACCGGATGAGAGAGTCCCAGTTCAGGGAGGTGCAATCTGTAGTACAGGACTCTAGAGGAATCCTATTTCAATACATAAGATTGAGAGGCTGGAATGAGCATGTGCAGAGAAATTGATCTACCTTTGAGAGTTGAGAAGAATCTCAACCAATTTTTAAGATTCGTGAAACCAATGTATTGACCCATTTGCCTGTCACTCTACAGCATGTTTTCCCCACAACCTACAAACATCTTTCCTCTTCCTAGATAAAGGGAAACAAGTGCTACATATTAGAATAAGCCACCCAAAATTAGCCCGGAACAAGTGGGTGTCTTATGGATCTAGGAGTGATGCTAATGAGCAGAGATATAGAATGACTTCTTGGCTGGTTTGTGGTAATGTTGTCATTGCAGGCTAATTAATATGATAATACCTTAGCTGGCAGCGTTTAGCATTGCCTCTTGAATTTATGAAAAGCTCTGTGGTACAAGTTAGACGTTATTAAATCTAAAGAAGTAACTCTCACACATAAAGTATTTTTCCATGGAAGTTCTCTTTCTCAACCTTTCCTTTTCTCAAAAGCTCCGTTTGTTTTTCCTTCGGCCTGTGCCATTTTCCATCCTGTTTTTTTTTTCCAATGGATTTTCCCCTTTCTCCTTTGTTCGCATTTGTTCCTAATCAGAATATAATCTCTTTTCAGTGAGTTCAAAATAACACAAACTGAATTTGCCTATCTCTAATCTCTCTCACCAGGACTGAATCTATAGGTTGAACCACTAGTCCAGCACTCTCTGGTCCAGCAAAATCCATGGTCCGGCATGATTTTAGTTAGTTGGATGCCCACTTATTATGGGTGTGGGACAAGTTTCCCATGGTACCATAAAGTATGTTTACAGCCACCAGTCTTGGAGCTCAGTGTTCTGTGCTGTTGCTTAGCTCTAATTTACCCCTAAATGTCTTCTAAGAGCCCAGTAAGCAGTGGTAAGCCCATGGTCCGGCAAATTCTCTGGTTTGGTACCAGTCAGGTCCTGAGGATGCCGAGCTAGAGAGGTTCAAGCTGTACCCCAAAATGAGCTTTTGTTCTTATTTTTTAGACAAAAACTATATTGTACATTTCAGTAGTGCCTTTCTCCTCAGGGATCCCAAAGCACTCTCCCAAGCAACTGGTACATAAACTTGGACTATATAATGTGTTAGCTATATATGTGGTTATTTGTAAGTCCTCACTGCTCCCCAGTTCTGTAAAAGTACCCTTTAATTTCCTTTTGAGCATGCTCCATTCTTCAGTGCAGAGCTTTGTAAAGACAATGGTTATACTTAACTACACACCTTATTTACTCCAAATTGAATCCATCATTGAAATGCAGCCACCTCTGGGACAGAACCCAGCAACTGTCTACTAATTGAAAATAACCGCACGGAGTTGTTTAGGCTAGGAAGTGAGGTAGAAAGAACTCTGTAGCTGATTCAAACGAGAGGAGTCCATAGTAAATTTTCTGAAAGGCCCAGGAGGAGAGTTCCCCTTGTCTGGCAGACCCGAAGCATTGAGGAAACTAATGGCATGTCTACATGGCAGTTAAAAACCTGTGGCTGGCCCCTGCCAACTGACTTCGGCTGAACTGGCTGTTTAATTGCAGTGTAGACATTCCAGCTCAGGTTGCAGTCTGGTCTCTACGATCTTGCAAGTTGGGAAGCTCTCACAGCTTGGGTTGCAGCCCAAACCCAAATATCTATACTTCAAAAAGCCCCTTAAGCCAAACACCATGAGCCTAAGTCAGCTGGCATGGGCCAACCACAGAAATCAAACTGCCATGTGGACAAACCCTATGAGTCTCTAGATGCCAAATCGGAGCCAATAAACACTTTTGGCTTGTACCAACCCTTGTTGACATTTTAATTTTAGGGCCAAGACACAAATGAACATTGGGACAAAAGGAATTTGGG